TTCCGATTGAGGCCGGTTCGACCAAGAAGCCCGACTTCATCGAGCTGTTGGAGAACAACACCCTCGAGGACCCCATGCCCGAGCGGGTGCTCCTGGTAGTCTTCGCCGTCAAGACAGGCGATTCGAACCCTCCCTCTGTCCAGCCTTCTCATCCCACCAGCCAGGAGCCCGGTGCTTCTGCCAGCCCTCTCACCACGGCTCCCTCGCAGCAGCAGCAACAGCAACAATTCCCGACCCCGGCCCCCCCTCGCCATTCCTCTCAATTCACCCCCAGCCCAGCACCATCGTTTCCCGCCACGCCGCAGGCGCCCATCCCCTACGGCCAGCAACCGCAGCAACCACCCGCAGCGGCCACCCAGTACCCCTCTTATCCCCCTCCTCAAGCTTCCACCCACCAGGCTCCCTTCACAGGTCTGGCGGCAGCCATCCAGGTCTTGGGTCCGCAGGCCGCCCAATCCCCCGCTCTTCAGCAACTGCTGCAGCAGGCGCCCAACGCCGACGTCTCTCAGCTGGGAGTGATCAAGGAGATCCTGCTACGCCGTCCCGAGGCCAGTTCAGATTACAAGCTTCTGACGGACGAATTATTCAAGGTCACCGCGGCCAATGGACATCCTGGCGGAGGACAGCAGAACAACCGGTAGAAGGGAAAGCTTAGATATTTGCTGTATAGTACTTCATCTTTCTTTCCTTTTTCTTTTCTCCTCCTCTCCATCCCCTTCATTCGCCGCATCATCTTCTCCTTTCCTCCCATTCCTTACCTTCTCATTTCAGTCTCATAGTTGGAACTTGGTGTTCAAATCTTAGTGGCGGGCTCTTTCCCCGAAGGTTTCCAAACTACCTCTTTCTTTTCTTTTTTCTTTTTATATCTTCATCCGTTCTTAAAATGTGTATTTGGGCGAAAAACGGGGGGAGCTTTTCTTCCGATTATTACTTATTCTGTCATGTTTTTGTTCTTTGCTTTTTTTTTTCCTTTCTTGTGAAGACGCGCAGGCTATTTATTTGATCCAGCGATGGTCTATGCTGTATGTTTTTCCAGTTGCGGCTTGATTGCCCGATTGTCACTTCCCAGAGGCCAATTTGATGTATGCATTTCCAGATTGTACGGCAGATAACGCAGATCTTTTCGATCGATTGAACAATATACTCATTATTCAATAACATTTTCTACTTCATGATTTATTTGTTTGGAAGAATTGAATTAGAGGCTCTTGGTACAGGGTATTATACCGCAGTGCGTGGATTTGTTTGTTTCGCTAATATAAGGTAAAGTGATGTTTAGATATCTTTTTGAGACAGAAAGAAGAAGATAGCCATGACATCCGCCAAGCATGGTCGACCGTGAAAGGAAACGCCTACGCTATGCAAAGACCAAGCTGAGAGCGTACAAGCAAACAGGAAATGAAAAGGAAAAAAAAGAAAGAAAAAAACAGAAATCGGTATAGGACAATCCAAAAAACCCCCCTTCTCCTTCTCCCTGTTTCATGATCATCGTCATCCGTAATCATCACCACCGAGGACCACGCTTTTTGTACCCACCACCGCCGCCGCCGCCACCACCACCGTAGCGAGGCCCGCGGCCACCGCCCCCGGAGCGACCACCGCCCCAGCCCCGATCACGATCGTCCTCGTCATCGTGGTGCCGGACCGGCGGAGGCCGACCCTTGAGCTCCTCGCTGAGTCGCTTGAAGGTCTTGCGCATGTCCGAGTACCCCATATGCATCTTGCCGAAGAAGTGATCGGCCAGGCGGCGGTCGTTGTCGAGGCGACTCAAGTACGCGCCGCAGACATCGCAGACCTGCAGCTTCTGGTGGCCCGAGGGGCCCGAGGTGTCTTGGAGGTTCTTGAGGTCGCGCTCGCACGTCTCCTTCTGGTGCTTGGCGGTGCGGATCTTGTGCAGTTCGTTCAGGGCCTGCGCCACGGCGCCGGTCTCGCCCAGGACGGAGATCTCCAGCAGACCCGAGTTGATGGTGTTGGTGAGGTCGGCGATTTGTTTTAGCTGCATAGTAACAAAATTAATTTCTGGTACTCCAGCAAAATGTTCTAGGTGATGGGAAGGGGGGGGAAGCAGAGCAGCAGAGAAGCCAGCCAGCCTTACCAGGTTATTCGTCTGTCGGATTTCATCCGGGGTCTTCTCCAGCCGTCGCTGCGCCGAGTCAATGCGTCGGTCACAGTCGTCGATGTACTTCTGCATGTCGCGCATGTAATCGTAGTCGAACCCCCACTTGGCCTTGTCCGCGGCCGAGGCGGCCTCGTATTCCGTCTTCAATCCTTCGCTGTGCACTTTCGGGCACTGGCCCAGGTCTTGTTTGGTGTTGGTGAAGAGGTCGTGGGGGCAGGTGCCGACGAGGTAGGAACGGCAGACTTTCGGATCGGTGATGGCGAGTTGCGCATTGCGGGATTGCGCTCCTGTGCCGATGAGTTGGTCCGCTGTAGCAGTCAAGGATATCCAGGATTAGCTAGCTATCTCGGAATTGCGGGTTTTTGAGACGAGGGGAGAGAGCTGGAAACGCTCGAGAAGGGAATTGTTGGGGACGTACCTCCCATGAGCTGCTCAAGCAGCTTTCTTTGTTCCGCAGCCATAGTGGGGGGATAATGCCTGGGATCAAAAGAGTGGTGAGGGATGAGGGGATGAGGGAGGGGGAAAGAAAAAGAAAGATCGCACTTGAAGGAGTTTGAATTGGAGAGCTTCTGCTTCTTCTTCTGTTCTGGCCGGGAAGTTCTGCGGGCGTGGCGCTAACCGCGGTTGGCTGCGCTTATGTGAGCTCCGGGCCCCTGTTCGCCTTGCGGTATTGTACACTCTACTTCGTTCATTATCTCGACGACAGGAATACGCTCCCCCATGATATAACGGGCAGTTGATGACTGTCGACTCTAACGGAGCTTGAAACGTTAGACTTCGACCCGAACGAATCGTCGTTGACGTACTGCAGGTGTCTCCGCAGCTGTCAGTTGTTGTTGCATCTCTCACGAGCAACGCAGCTGCCGAACGTCGCAACTCCACCACCGAGGGGTGGTGCATCGAGATATCTTTACTGGATTCTTTCTGAAGCTTCCGTGTCGGCCAGCATGACGTGATGACTGTCCTTTCGCTTCTCTCTCTACTCTTCCTGGCCGCGTTCTCCTCGCTCGCCTCCGCGAACTCCGACTACCACGAGAGTCTCGTCCTCCAACCACTTCCGCAATCCGCGCTGTTAGCTTCCTTCAACTTCCAGAGCAATGACTCGCAGACCTCCTTCAATGAGCGTCACTTCCGCTATTTCCCCCGCGCGCTAGGCCAGATCCTCCGCCACGCCAATACCAAGGAGCTGCACCTCCGGTTCACAACGGGTCGATGGGATGCTGAGAGCTGGGGTCCTCGCCCGTGGAATGGAACCAAGGAGGGGGGCACCGGTGTGGAGCTGTGGGCGTGGATCGATGCCGTAGATGATGAATCGTACGTCTTATGCTGGGGTAACCGGACAGATAGGATCCAATGTTGACATCAATCAACCAGGGCTTTCGCAAAATGGATCACCTTGGCCCAATCACTCTCCGGGCTGTTCTGTGCCTCGTTGAACTTCATCGACTCGACCAGAACGACGAGGCCAGTCGCATCTTTCGAACCCACAGGGACTCACGCGGCTTCGGACAATCTACATCTTCTGCACGGAACACTTCCTGGCGAGGTGGTCTGCACCGAAAACTTGACGCCATTTTTGAAGCTCCTTCCATGTAAGGGCAAGGCGGGTGTGGCTAGCCTTCTCGACGGGCACAAGCTTTTTGATGCTTCGTGGCAGAGCATGTCCGTGGATGTGCGTCCTATCTGCACGCAGACCGGGGAATGTGTTGTGCAGATTGATCAGTCGGTGGACATTGTGCTCGATATCGACCGGTCCAAGCGTCCACGGGGTCAGTATAGCTTGCTTGACGTATGACGATCTGTGCTGATCCTTCCCCTAGATAACCCCATCCCACGGCCCGTGCCTAACGAGCAGCTCGTGTGCGACACATCCAAGCCTTATCACTCAGACGACACCTGCTACCCGCTAGAGAGCACGTCCGAAAAGAGCTGGGGCTTGTCTGAGATCTTCGGCCGCAGCATTAGCGGATCATGCCCTCTCACCGAGGGTTCTACCGACGGAACGGTCTGCCTGCGAGTGCCACACGAACGAGAAGTCCGTGCGACTGAAGGCGCGGTGGAAGTGAAGAAGCCCGACGGGTACACCCGCTGCTTCACCCTGGAGTCTTCCACACCTTTTGACCTCAACATCCCGGAGCAGGAGGCCACGACCCAAGTTCCACTCGATGAGCCTGTGCTGCGCGCCGAGCGCACGATCGTCGGACACGGCCAGGAACGCGGAGGGATGCGGATTATCTTCGACAACCCTTCGGACACCCACCCTGTTGACTTCATCTACTTCGAGACGCTGCCGTGGTTCCTCCGCCCCTACGTCCACACCCTCCAAGCCACCATCACGGGCCGCGACGGGCTACGTCGCCAAGTGCCCGCCTCGCAATTCATCAAAGAAACCTTCTACCGCCCGGCCATCGACCGCGAACGCGGGACCCAGCTCGAGCTGGCGCTCTCCGTGCCGGCCGCGTCGACGGTGACGCTAACCTACGATTTTGAAAAGGCTATCCTGCGGTACACGGAGTATCCCCCGGACGCCAACCGCGGGTTCAACGTCGCTCCGGCGGTGATCAAGCTGAGCCCGGCGGGCGGCGGCGGCGGCGCCAGCCACCCGATCTACATCCGCACGACGAGCCTGCTTCTTCCACTCCCCACTCCGGACTTCAGCATGCCATACAACGTGATCATCTTGACGAGCACGGTGATCGCGTTGGCTTTCGGCAGTATCTTTAATCTGCTGGTGCGCCGTTTCGTGACGGCCGAAGAGGCCTCGGCCATGCGAGCGCAGACCCTAAAGAGCAGGTTGGGTGGGAAGCTCGTTGCTCTCCGGGACCGAGTCAAGGGGAAGACGGCGAAGACGGAGTAGTTCATGTATTCATATAGCATTTCGATCACACCCTATCTACGAATGCAATCACCAGTTGAAGAGATTCATGCATTCCATCTCATAATATCATTAACCCTAATAATCCCATACACCCCACCGACAAAAGACAAACACTAGAACCAAACAACCCAGCGAACACGAATAACGCCATCCCCTATCGGGCAGCCCAAGCCAACAACACCTCCCCCTCAATCAGAAGAAGAAGAAGAAGTTTCACTCAGGATAGAGACTAAACCCTCATCAGCCAGTCCCCCCCAACACCTCTCTCACTGCATCCACCCCCTCATCCCTCAACCGCTCATCCCCTGAAGGAGAAAGGGGAAAAAAAGGCCCGGGGAAAGCTTACAAACCCAACTTATCCTTCATCGTCTCCCAGCCCGGCAGCGCCCCGGACCCGCCGGGCTTCCGCTCCATGAAGCTGTGGTCCTCGGTCGCGCATGTCCCCTCCTGCATCCCCTGGCCCTCGTCGAACCGGCCCAGGAACTTGTGCTCCGCCGCCGACTTCTGGTCGCTGATGTCGCGGAATTCCGGGGCCGTGAGGACGTCGCTCTACGGTCGTTGGCGTTAGTTATCGGCAGAACAGTAACTATAAGTTATGTGATGGTACAGAGGGGAAACGGGAAAGAGGGGGGCAAAACGTACAGAAACCCCGCCCTTAGGGTGGCCCGAGTCGCCCCAGCCGCTGCCGCCGCCGGCGTTGTTGGCGGGCGTGGGCTCGGCGGAGGCGCCGCCGCTCGTGGCTTGGGGGAGGCGGTTGGAGTTGGAGGCCATTTTCGTGGTGTTTAGTTTAGTAAATTTAGTGGGTGGGTGGGTGTTGTTGAGTTAGGTATAGGTGGGGATTGAAGCGTGTGGTTGTGGTGCTGGAAATATGGTTAGTGGTGGTTGCGATGGATGTACAGTATATAGTTGGGCGTCGTATGCGGTATGTTCTGCGGAGGGAAGGGGAGGGGAAAGTAAAGACTCACTATTTATGCAAATAGTATCAGAGATGTAGATTTGATCGAGGTCACTTCGAAATCTGCTGGATTGGGTTTATATACCCTACTCGTATCCCTCTGGGGGATGAATGAAGGGTTGGTGATCTCATCATGAACACACGTCATTTTTGGGGTTGCCACCCCCAAGTTTGGGGTCAGTCGCATTCACTTGCTTACCCCAAGCATTGGAGGTCCCTGCCATGTACTATTCTGGACTCGTAACACAAGCAACTGTAGAAGTGATGTGTTTATCGATTTGGCTCTCATCTACTGATTCTACCATAGCTGATGCGGTGCACTCGGTATATACATACATCACGTCATAACTTATCAGCTATGGTATAACAAGAAAAGACAAAAATAATACCTCTGGATCGCAGACAACAGAAAGTGTAATTGGGGAATTATAATGTATGCATCAATCATGGAGGTCTTCAAAAATCCAAGAATCCACGGAAGAATAAAACGTAGACCTAAATAGAGCATTACTGCGACTCGACTTGTTCAGCCCAAGAAGTCCCTTCCATCGGTGAAAGAGGGTCCACGTTGAGAAGGTCCAGGTTCACTGCAGTTGTTGCAGCATTGAGAGGTGCCTTTGGCTCCTTAGGCTCATCGGAGGAGTCCTTGACGACCTCCTTCTGAGTGTCCTTCTGTTCCTCCTTGACCCACTCTTTCGGGGCCTCTTTCGAGGTATCCTTCCCGTTCTTCTCACTGCCAGGGAGCGCAGGGAAGTCTGCCTCATTGTCAAGCACCGGAGCAGGAGCCCACCTCGACTCGCCCAGGCCTGGCAGATTCTCAGCCGCGCCGTCCGTCTGGGGAAGATCCTCCCGTGGGCCACGATGACCACCGCGACCACGTCCACCGCGACCCCCACGGCCTCGACCTCGATGGCCCCCTCGAGGACTGTCACCATGGGGCTCCTCATGCGCCTCACCACTAGGCTGGTCGCTAGGCTGCCCTTCAAAGTCGCGTCTCGTATAGCCAGAAACACCACCGTGCATACCTCGACGGAAGCCCCCGCGCCCACCGCGCGGGTTGAAATCCTCCTCCTTCTTCTGAGCATCCCACTCCCGGCCCGCAAAGGCTTGTAACTTCCGCTGTCGGTTGCGTTCCCGCTCGTTATCCATGACCCGGCGCTGCACCCGTTCCTGGCGTCTCTTCTCCTCCGCAACCTTCTCCCTCTCAAGGAATGAGGCTTGGTCAGCTTCAGCCCGAGCGTGCGCCGCGGCTACCTTGGCAGCGTTCTCCTTCGCAGCCGCAATACGACGCGAGAGCTCCTCTTCCGTGAGTTTCGGCTACACAGACAAACACAAACTCATTAGCCCCACGCTTAAAGTCCACCATAGAGCCCCCCACGCCCGTAAAGAAAACGTACCTTCTTGATACCACCCGTAGCACTTCGATCTCCACGTACAGCAGGCACCCGCGGACCCTCCGCTGCAGGCTTCTCACCCGCCTGTTGTTCTGTCTCCGCAGCCGCAGCCCCAGAGGCAGCCGGGTTAGTAGTAGTAGTCGTCGTCGTAGCCTCCTCCACGGGATTGTTGCTGTCCTCGCCACCCTCCACAGGGCTCTCCGCCGTAGTCTTATTATTATTATGATAATTGTGATTAATTCTCACGTTCGGATCACCCCTCCGGCCAGAGTTCTGCGACCCCCTCCGCCCACCCCGGCCCCCTCTGCCTCCCCGTCCCCTCCCCCGTCGCTCACCCCCGCGTGAACGCGACGGGGTGTCAGTCCGCGCAGGAGATGATACGTCTCTGTCGATAGTAGTTGATGCTGTTGCGGGCGCGATACTCTCTTCAAAGGACTGCTGGTGGTGGTCGTCCGCCGGCGGGGAGTGTTGTTCTTGTTGTTCTTGCAGCTGCATTTGTTGTTGTTGCTCTGCAGAGACGGGGATGATCTCATCGTCGAACAGGTCATCCCCTCCACGTGTTTGCGCGAACTCGTCCATGGCAGGGACGTCACTTACGGGCCTGTCGTTTTCGGTCTTTCGGGATATGGTTGTATGCCCAGCCGAAAGGCAAAATGGATGTGGATAGTGTGTGTGTGTGTATGTGGTATATCGCACAGGCACGACGCAGAAAAGCTGAAGGGTGGACACAGGAAATGCGATCCGTGAAAGGTTGGAGAGGTCTCAGGCGGCTTGTGTGGTTCGAACCAAGGAGGGCGATTAATTAAGGCTAGCTAAACTATCAGCGCTAGTTCCGCGCGCGGACGCGGGGAAGAACAGTCAGCTTTCTGGTGCGGGACAGAGGAGGGCAACGGCAGGGAAGGGTAGGGCGTTCAGAGCAATTGTGGACAAGTTTGAGATATGGATAGGAGATAGCTGGAACTGGGATGAAAAGTAGACGAACCACATGCCAACCAGCCAAGTTTATCTGCAGGGAAGCTCCAGTCCAGCCCAGCCCAACCGGACCGGACCCAAGCAAGTCATTGCAGCCGCGACTCCGACTGACTGCTAAGGCGGTCTGGGTTGGACTGGTTCGTGTCTGGATACAACTCTCATGGTGTTGGGGATGATGGAGGGATGAAGGGTCAAGAAGAGGTAGTAGTACATACATAGATTAAGACGTAAGATGTAATCGAGTGATGAAAGAAGCGGTGGGTTCTCAAGAGAGTAGCCGTGAGGATGGATCGGAGCAGCAGCGAAGCCAAAGGAAGCTCGAGAGGGGAAACTGCTGCCTCTCACCGCCTGGTTCTGCCATGCACCAACCCAAATACGGACTGATGAGGGGAAAGGAAATCATAACTTGGAAGAAAAATGATCTCATGCGGTTTCACATCCTACTACTCGTCTATGTACAAGGCTTCCGTAGTGTATGCGCTAACCAAAAATATTTCCCACTCTTTCATGACTTGCGTAATACTTAATGTGCTATGCTGCAACTTCACGGTCTCTTCTTTCTCTCGTGCACTACACACACTGCCATGCATTTTCGTCCGTGTAATTCCCTGGGCCCTTGTATACATTGCGCCGGGGCCAGCGACAATGCTTGCGGGTATATTCCACTCCACTACCAACTCCATCAACAAACTTGGCTCCCCGCACAAACTCCGGCGCTATGCCCTTCTCCACCCACTGCACCATGGCCATGAGCACGTTGTTCTCCGGCGCAACGCCATTGAATGAATCGGCCACGTTCCCAATGCCGTATGCACCGTCACCGCCCCCACAGTGGCCCATACCACTGATCTGGAAGAAGCGATAAAACTCGTCCAGCTCTGCCGGCGGCAGGTTCATCGTCTCGGCCACTCGCGAGTAATACAGCTTGGAGTTCTCCGAGCTAATGATTTGGTCCATGAGCCCGTGGTAGGTCAGGACCTTGCCGCCGCTCTTGCGGAACGGGGTCAGGTCCGCATCCCAGGTTTGGATGTTGTACGGGTTCTGCTTGAGTGCCACGGCAATATCGTGCCTATTGAAGGTGGCCGGGTCCCAATCCGGGTTGCTGAAAACCACATAGCGGTACCAGTCGGTGCTGTAGGAAAAGGGCGAGCCACCGTAGTAGATTGCGGAGGCAGCCACCTCCGAGCCGGGTTGCATACGAGGGTAAACAAGGGTCCCGTTGAGCCCATAGAGTGGGGACAGGATCTGGCGAACCGTGTTTGCCTGGGCCCCGGTGAGACATCTGGTCGAGGAGGAACCGGGTTTGCAGATGATCGTGTCGATGATCGGGTGGCAGAGATCAGGATCTTCGATGATTCCATCGTGCGCGCCGTCGATAGCGTCGCATTGACGTAAGATCTCATCATGGACAACACTCCAGAGCTCAGAAGAGAGGTAGCTGTCTGAGGTGTTGGCTCCGGTGATGGGGTAGAAGTGACCGCTCCAGGAGGTCAAGCCTACAAAATTCATGGCAGGAGCACCAGCCACCACACCGTCAAAGTCATCGGGGAACTGCTGCACCGACTTGAAGCCCTCACGACCACCGGTGGAGCATCCCAGGTAGTAGGACTTGTTGAAACCTTGCTCGTAGAAGAGCTTGGTCAACTGCTTTCCAACCACGACTCCAGTGTGAACTGACCGATAGGCAAAATCTTCGACGACTTCTGGGTGTTGGTAAAAGGGTTCGCCAGACGTGCCATTGTGTCCGTTGTTGGCACCGACCGTCGCAAAGCCGAATCCGGTTGTATACGCCATATCATCGTACCCAACACCTTAAGAAGACGCGTCAGACTTAAGAACAGAATCATGCAGGACGAGTGGAAGAGAGGTGACATACAGCCATTGAGCCCTCCATTGCCTGTGCTCAGAAACCGACCAGTGTAGTTTCGAGGCAGCCATGCCTCCAGTGTGATCTCGCTGCTGTTTGAGGTCGCAACCGCCATCGCGACTCGACAAAAGTCGGCCGTCACAGCCTGATAGGTAGCGCCGCAAGTCGCAGGATTGTCTGGTATAGAGAGGTTGGTTCCTCCGGCCACATATTCCACAATGTTTACTCGCACGTTGGGTAGATCAATCTTGCTTGCAAACTTGGCACATTTGTTTTGAAAAGAATCTTGTCGAGTTGAAATGGCTGAGCCCAAAGCCAAGGAGGGCAGGAGAAGAGGCAGTGTTCTCATGTTGACGGACCTGTTTCTCAGCGCAACTGTTGTGCGAGGGAGGATAGAAACATGGAGCCCTCGAGTAGAGGAGGGGCCCTTTTATAGCCCTTCTTGCTCGGAAACATTTCCACTTGCTTGCTTCACCGTCTCCACCAGTGATGCCTATCAAGAGTGGAGATTGGGGCATCCAGAGCAGAGTCATCAGTCAAGCTTTGAGAATCCTCCGAGATTGTATCGGGGTGAGAGGGAGGCGATGAATGGGAAGTGTTTGGAGGAGAGAAAGAGATTAATGCCGGCAGATGAGCGGAGCCGAAAATGAAGCTAAATAAATGCGAGACTGTGGTTGGGCCAGGGGCTTCCCCCCATACCCCACAGCCACTTTTCCGGGGATCGTCAACTTCTCCGCAAAATGCGGAGAAGAGGTTCGATGCCTTCCTCTACCTTTGGGGACCAGGGCCCTTGCCCCCTTCTGGCTTAGAAGGAAGGATTTGGCTTCCTTCCGTTACCTGTCAGAAACACAGCTCTGTCTTACAATACAGCACTTGGAGAGAGCCGAGGCACGGAGACACATCTCCCTAAGAAACAGACCAGTCATCAGTTTGCATTCCATCACTTCTACCGAATTTAGTGCCGCCTCAATGTCTATCACATAGTCCATGCGTCATTTCTTTCAAGCAAGTCGAATTTGTTCACCGAAGACCGCACTTGGCGATGGGAACAGGCAGGAGAATCAGAGATGCAGCAAGCTAAAGGATCCGGTGGATCGAATTCTGAATACAGAAAGTTCAACGAAGCTTCGGCTTGGCCCCGGGTGCTTATCGTGCACTCCAGAGTATATTCAACCGTCACCCACAGCGCAGAAAGGAAATACCACCCGCTAGGTTGTTCCACCGTGCAAGTGTGTGAACATTATATCAAAAATAAGGAAACACATAATTAAGATGGATGTCGAATGAAATAGAGTCAATGTCCACGCCGAAACAGATAATTGACTAGAGATCAAGACCGTTAGTACGTCGGTATACAGACTGCGGAGGATAGGGGGCCGAACAAATTACAGCGACTGCCCTTGAATGCTCTGTAACTACATTCCAGATCACGAGGCTGCACCAGACTATATCACCCATCACTTTCAGTACGAGATCCAGCCCATACTTAGATCCCATCTGGTCAATTGCCTTGAGTATTTTCGCAGCTATGACGGCTGCTCTGTCAAGATCAGCCAGCATGCCAGTCAAGTGAATTTGTTGCTGCTGGTGTAATCGGGATGTTTCTTGTAGAGCTTCGTATTGCCGCAACTGTGCTAGATGCAGCTGTTCGGTTCGTTCTTCGGACTCATTAAGAGCCTTCTGAAGGCCTGGCATGCGCTTTGAAAATTAGTAATGTTCTCTCGTCTTCTTTGAAGCTGTCGCAAACCTCATTCATGCTCTGCGCGATTTGCAGCATATATACCATTCGAGTCGAGAGCAGGTCCTACTACAGTTAGCTCACTGAAAGGATTTGGTAACAAATACTCACCAGAGAAGCATCAAATTGCAAGAGTCTTGCCAAATTATCCTGGCAGAGTGCTCCTACGCTTTCGTGGTGAGCCAAGGCCGTCTCCCTGGTGGTCTCTAGCTCTCTCTGCTGCGCATCCGCCAATTCCTGGTCCCTCTTGGCAGACTCTTGGTGTAGAGCGTGTAGTGTGTGACCAAGCTTATCAGCTTCGGTAGCAACAGTCTGGAGTTTCTGGACATATCATTAACCTTAGTATTAGTCATGTAAGCAAATGCAGACTCACGAATTCGAGGGTGTCTGTCTTTTGCTGCAGTGTGTCGATCGCAGGCCCTAGGGACTCCTTGAATGAGTCGACGGCATACGCGTACAGGCCGTGCAAAATCCGGTCCATCGTCGATCTCAAGCGCATATCGGTTTCTTCCAGTTCCTGTCTCATCCTGCTTCTCATGATACCGACCGCTTGCATGAATTCTTTCTGACGGACAAGGTCAGCTGCAGCGACCTCCACGGCCTCGTGGAGACCATGCTCCAGCTCGGCAGAGCTATTTAGTATAGATCGATAAAGCTCCAAAAGCTCCGCCTTCTCAGTCTCATCCCTGGCCGCCTGGCATATAACCACAGCATTCTGCCGACTGTTGCTGTAGGAAGTCCACCACTGCGGCCGGGTCTCCAGCGACTGAAGGCAAGACTCCAACTGCGGCTTCTGAATGAGCTCCGGAGCACTGAAGCGGATTCTATCCCCGAAAATAAATCCGAACCTGCCTCTTTTCTGCGGCGGCACAATCACCAATGAGGAACACGTGTCTGGCGCTGCTGCCTTAGCTTCTCGAAGCTCACAAATGGCAAGACGGGCTGCATAAAGCGAGCGCACGAGCTCTAGGTCCAGGTATACATCCGTGTCCTGTTTCTCGGACCGACCCCCGATTACCTGACAAGAAGAGACGAGCTCTGATACCGCCAGCCGGCTGCAGGATGGGGCGAGCTTCATTGAATCGATGAGAAGGAGAGCTTCTTGTATAATAGGCTTTTGCTTCGGCACTCTGGGAGTAAGGAGAGATGTAAGGTCGATCTCGTCCATAGCACGATTGTCGTTCCCTGCGAGAGCTGCTTGCATCGTTAGCGATTGCCGTGAGAGTGGCCACATAGAGACGTACCATTTTCCGGAAGCACTGCTTCCACAAGACTGTCGAGACTAAAGATAAATATGAGCACCACTATAATGATATGCTGAAACATGATAGTGACGAAGGACAATGCAGTCAGCAGTTTCATGGTGGATATTAGTGTCGAGGTCGAGGGTCCGTAAGATTGTACCAGGGAGAAGTATGGAGTAAATAAAGACTATAGTAATGCAGTATAGAATGTAGAGAGATTCAGAATCTGTAGGACTTAGGCCAATTGAGGCACAATGTAGCAGATTCATCGAGTTGACACTCATAAGGTAAGCGAGTGGAACGAGGAAGTAGGACAGGTGTGAAGCGGGAAGGTGAGGTTATCCCCATTCTCTGGGCTAGCCCATAAGTCAACCTCAGTTCAGCGGAGAAAAGACCCGTGAGGCTTACCACACAGCTCCAACATCATTTCATCACGAGTGCAGAACCGAAGTAGAAGCTGTAGAGAGACCTCACCCATCCCCGATCTATACACTCTCTCACGTGATCTACACTAACCGCATTAGGAAGACAGGATCTCCGGACAAAATCCGTCCGCATCAAAAGAATCCCAGACTAGTCAATCAAAACACCAGTCGCAACCCACGCCGCCATGTCGAATCTTCTACCCCAGAGCTGCCTCCGGCAGTTTGCGCGGAGCTCCCTGAGAACAGGCGCTGCGTCTGCTCGTCCCGCTTCAGCCTTCGCGCTCCCTCTCCGGACACAACCTTTCTCAACCACTTCCCCGACACAATCGCGGAAGGGCAGTGCCCCGATTACCATTCCCCCGGAGGTGTCTCTCAAGTTCATCGATCTCCCGGTTGTCTCCGTGAGAGGAGGTGCTGAGGAAGCTCCCAAGGTTGCAATTGAGGTGTCGGGCCCTCTGGGTGAGTCCTAGTCTTTCGGAACTTCCCCGGCGAGGAAACAACTCTCATGGTATATCTAACAAGAAGTGATTGCTAGGTAAAATGACTCTGAAAGTCCCCCCTTTCGTCAACGTCGAACACGATGAAGCCCTCCGGAAGGCCACTCTCTCCGTTCAGGACCGGGAGATCAAACACCAGCGTGCCATGTGGGGTATGTGAACAAACCTCTTCTACCCCGGAAATCCCTTCTCCGCGGGTCTTTGAGTGGTCCAACTGACTGGTCGATGACAAAATCAGGAACCATGCGCTCGCATCTACAAAACTACGTCCTGGGAGTGTCGGAAGGTCACATCTGTATCCTGAGTATGGTCGGTGTCGGTTACAGAGCCACGATCGAGTCTCAGGCGACCACCGTCAAGTCCCAATTTAAGGGCCAAAAGTTCGTCTCCCTGAAGGTCGGATACTCCCACCCGATTGAGCTCCCCGTCCCGTGGGGAGTCAAGGCCAGCACACCCCAGCCGACCCGTATCCTGCTCGAGAGTGTCAACAAGGAAGTCGTGACGCAGTTCGCGGCCGAGATCCGCGAATGGCGCAAGCCCGAGCCCTACAAGGGCAAGGGTATCTTCATCAACGGAGAGACCGTCAGATTGAAGGCCAAGAAGATTCGGTGATCGGGGGGGTCATTTATACCTTTGGGAGATTTTTCTTTTCCTTTTCTTTCTGTATATGTATATCGGAGCATGGTTCTCTGGGTTCGCGACTGGTATTTTGAAATTTGTGTACTTTTAGACGCATCTAGCGTGGATATAGCTTGACAGTTTATGCAGCCAACATGAAAAAAAAATCACAATCTATGCATAACAGGAAATTCGTAACCTCTTTTTTTTTTTCTACAACTTCAGAACGACCTTCACGGCGTCGATGACCTGGTCGTGGATGGCCGCGGGGGCGGCGACAACACCCTTGTTGGCAGCCAAGGTCCGGCCCTTGCTGAAGTCCAATCTCTGACCGTGGATATCAGTCACTTGACCACCCGCCTCGCGGACGATCAGGTCTCCCGCAGCGTGATCCCAGATCTTCTCCTGGTAGTCCTTCTTCACCGGCAGGCGCAGGTAGATGTCACCGGCTCCTCTGGCGATGGAGCAGTACTTGGCCTGGGAATCCAGACGCACACTGGGGGCGGTGATGCCCAGACGCTCGGCGACGGCGGCGTTGTCACCCTGGGCGGAGTGGGCAGCTTCGACACCCTCGCAGAAAACGGCCTGGGCGATGTCAGGCACGGGGCGCATGGAGATCGACTTGCTCTCGGCGAGACCGGCGTTGGTCAGGGGTCTGCTGATGGCTCCGACACCCTGGATGGCGGAGAAAAGGACCCCGTTGCCGGCGCCGCTGGTCTGCTCCGCACCGATGCCGGCGGACAAAGTCTCGGAGTCGTTGACGGGGAGGTTGGGGCAGCCGATGGCTCCAACCTTGACATCACCGTCCTCGATCAGGCCCAGGCAGACGGCGTACTGGCCGCCGCGCAGGAAGCCCTTGGTGCCGTCGATGGGATCCAGGGCCCAGACGCGACCCTTGGCGCCCCCAGCGCTCTTGCCCTCATCGATGATGTCCAGCATCGCTTCCTCGCTCGGCAAGGCGCCGCCCAGAAGGTTGTCGCTCTCGCTGTCCTCCAACTTGATGTCCTTGACGAGTCTCCAGATCTCGGCGCTCAGCGCCTTGTCCTCGCGGAGCGTGCTGGCCTCCTCCTCGGCGACAATCTCATCGT